TCCTTCTATCTGCCTACGAGAGATTGTACGGCTATTCTGGGACACCCTGTATATGTATATTTAAGCACAACGGCTCTTCATGTCCTTATATTCATATATTATTAGTTTAAAAGACTTATAGAGCCTGAGAGTAATCTTCATTTATCACTAATTGTTAAAAGTGAGATTGTATAAAACAAATATTTTGAAACGTGATAGTAAGAGCGCGACCGTTCTACTTTAGATTGGAGTATCATTTGCGGCGACAGTTGGTCTCTCTTCGAGGCTGCCGTGGTTTGTCGTCAATTAGGTCTCGGTTACGCCTCCGACGCCGTGCAGACCAATTTTTTCGGCAACGGAAAAACGACGTCGATATCGATAAGTGGAGTACAGTGTCGCGGAAACGAAAGTAATTTGGCCGAATGCCTGCACGACAAAGTTGTGAACTGCCCAGGTATAACGTCGACCAGTTACCATTTTCTTTTGTTGCAACACGTTTGCGACCAGAAAATGTGCCATAATATCAAATCGAAACTTCGTTATGCTATGCGAGAACGTGACGTTATAACGCGAAAAATTCGAGAAATACGATGTCGTAAAAAGTAAATCCAAACGAACGATTTCAGGACCGACGGAAAATATAGCGGGGGTGGTTTGCCATCGGGAGATGGCGGATCTTGTGTTCGATCACATCGAGCTGATGCGCACAGCGCATCTCGAAGACCGTCAGCTGTACTGGCTACAGTGCGCAATGGAGGAGAACTGCGTGGCCTCGCAAGCGTACAAGGTGCAACGCGAATCCGAGAGTTGGCATTTGGAAACGAGGCGGCTGTTGCGTTTCACCGCGAGAATTTTGAACGCGGGCACCGCGGACTTTCGCCCGTCTGTGCCTAAACACTTGTGGGAATGGCATATGTGTCACATGTGAGTGACGACGCGATTCGATATTGACGTCAAGAAGATAAAGAAAGACAGCGAGATCGTCGTTATCTCTTTCGACCGTAATATTGTTAATAGAAATCAGAGACTCGTGTACAACATTTTGTTTTGACAAGTAATCGTTATAAAAACAATAATTTCGGGGTAAAATGTCACTTTTAACGCAATCATCTTTTTTCACGCAGGCATTATCACTCGATGGAGGTGTTCGCCACTTTCGACGTAATCGATTCTAACGGCAATAAAGTTGCCGAAGGCCACAAAGCATCCTTCTGTCTCGAGGATAATCAATGTATGTCCGGCGTCCAACCAAGGTAAGAAATCCTGATAACGTATAATCGATCAGGTTTTTTTGTTCACGTGACGTCCACGTTTAATTTTGCCCCATTGTCCCGCTTTATTCTTTCTATAATTGCAGTCGCGATCGCGTTTTCCAGTTTATTAATTAGAGAAATTAATGATTTGCAAAATGTCATAAATGTGTTTTCAGATATAAATGCGCCAATTACGGCGACCAAGGCATTTCGGTTAATTGCAGTGACATTTACAAGCACAATATCGACTGCCAGTGGGTGGACATTACCGAACTCGAGCCGGGACACTATACGCTCAAAGTAAAGTTTTGTAATAAAGTTTATATTTTTCATAAATATGCATGACGAGAAGAAGTATCGTCGATAAAATTGCAAATATCTCGCGGGCTTTGGCGGGAACTGACGTCGGAGTAAAAAAATTTTACGAAGGAAATTTCTCTTCTTGGTTTTCAGGTCGCGGTGAATCCCGAATTTAAAGTCGGCGAGATGTCGTTTGATAACAACGCGGCGATCTGCCGCTTGCTATACACGGAAACTTTTGCAACTGTCCACAGTTGCATAATGGGACGACCCTGACGTAATGCGCACGATTGCAGAGATTGTTTTTGTTTTTTTTTAGTGAACGATTCGTGAAGTAAAATTAATATGTTCGATTGGACGTTTAGAAAAAAAAAAAAACACGAGATCTTATCAACGTAATAAAATATGTTGCAAAATATAATAGACGTTTTCTATGTTCAATTTCTTTTATATCAACTGTTTTTTTTTTTTTCAAAACCCAAGTTTGACACTTTTGTGCAAAGTACCTTTTAGGATCATTGAATTCCCAGTTTCCGCTTTCTCGTCTCTCCGAACTCGTGTATCGTTCCTTCATTCACGTAACTTTTCGAATAATCACAGAGTGTAGGACGACTCCAGACGGTTAATTACCAGCTCTCTTGGTCTAACTATATACGAGCTATCTAGACTTGCGCGCCTCGCGAGAAGCAACCGGACGTTCAGATCGAAGCTGCTCTCTGTCGAGGCGACCTCCTCGCTCCACATACTCGCCGCGTGCGGAATCTCAAGTTTCGGAGTCTAGGAACCGAATTTATAGACGTACCGGCCGGACGTGGAGCTACTAGTCGCTCTAGATTTCCGTGAGAGCAACCCTCTCTAAAATTTTTCGGACAAATTTGTTTTTTTTTTTGGAAAACGCTCTTTTCCTCTCGGTTCGAAACAATTGTTCATGATCTTTCGGATTTGGCTATTGTGTAACTTTGGAAATCGATTTGCCTATTCCGTACGCGCGCGTATCTACTGACGATCGTCGGATTGATATGTATATCGTTACATGTTAATGTTATTTTATGACAAAAAAAAAGCTACGCAACGACACATCGTCGAATCAACACATCGTTCGTACGACTGCGCGGAACTGAGTCTCAGGTGTATTATCGAAAATTCGAAATCGCTCTAGGTGAGAATTCGAGATAGAGACGTTACTTGCGCGCACTATAGTTGAACGCAACTGCTACCTGTTACCTTTCGCGGATGCTCGAGTCCAGATGTATCTATACCTAGAACGAATGTGGCTCATCGATTCGTACGTACTTGATGCCTCGATGTTACCATCGAATGTTAAGAGAGTTTATAAAAATAAACGATTAAATATTCGCGCGTAATATGGATAAATTGAACGTAGATTGAGAACGATGCGATTATTAATAAAAAAAAATATTATAATTAAAAGTCGATTGTTCTCATTTTTATCCGCCTGACTTTATCGATGATTACAGAACATCTCGTAATTGTATAATACAACCAGATTAGAATGTAGCGTGTCGGAAACGGAAAGAGAGAGATGTGCAATAATTGTTCTGTGTGTTTAAAAGTTGTTGCGTAATTAATTTCGATTCGAAAATTCTTTTTTATATTATTCAAAGAAATCGGTATCTACATCAATCAGATACATCGCATATATCGGCAACGTGACTGATGATATAATTCATTTAGAAAAAAATAGAAAGAGGGGTGACTCGCGACAAGGGTACGGCTTCCCTCAGTTGCGTTTGAACGGAGCGTGGTGTCACGGCGACTTTTTTTATTTAGAGAAAAACGTGTAATGTAATTTCACACAGATACACACACACACACACACATACACAGATAGAACGACCCTCACCCTAGAGACAATTGTTCGAAGAAAACATTTTTCAAATGTCATTGAGAATTATTAAAGAATGTGAAACATTATTTTAAACACTATAAATAGCGAAACTTTTTCCGAGATGAAATTCTACGATGTCGTTTGAAGGGCAGCTACAGAAAACTCGGAAAACTCTTGTCACACGAGTTTGTTTTTTTTTTTCAAGTGCATTATTCGAAGAAAGAAAAATCGATAATGAATGTAAAGCTACACTTTTAAAGGTGAGTATACACGTAGCAAATACGAACACATTTGATTAGCCGAAGAACAGATCAATGCGATTGGTAAATTTTGCGCTTGTTCGCCTCGTAGCACGTATCTAGCTTAAGATGAACTTTGACATTCGCCCTGTAATCGTAAAAATTGGAACATCGCGAGGGTGCGAGGAGATGCGCGTATCTCGTGTTGAATGTCGAAGTGGCGCTTGTCACGCGATTTAATAAACGCCATCGAAATTAATGGCCGCGAGAGCGGATGGGACTTTCGTGAAGGATGCCTTTCGTGCTAAACGACGCTTTGGCGCTTTGCGTGACGTCACTCAAGTCGAACGGCGAATACTAATCATTGCGCGTAATTTGCGAAAGTAAGAATTTTGCTATCATTCAAAATTGCGTACAAAAGTAAGAATCTAAAATGCTAAAATTGTTTCTGCTTTAGTGATAAACAATGATGGCAAATGATATGCTGATCAGAACTTTATTCGTGCTGAGCGTTATTCCGTTGACTTTAAGCACGCGCGAACAATTTCTGTGTTTTAAAAACAGCACGTTATTGGAAACCGCGGGCGACGCTATTTTAACCGGTAAGCCGTTAATTTAAGTAACAATTTTATTTGAATCAATTACATCTCGAAAATCTTTAAATAAGTGTAAAGCGAGTTATTTAAAAAAAACTTAAAAAATGTTTTGTAATACTGTTGATTTTTTTGTGAACGCCAATCAGTTTTTGTGGACGCCAATTATGGACAGTATTGCAATATATCGTCTGCTGAGGGTTTCCAGCAAGTTTTAACTGCGCTACACGTGGTGCGAACTTTGAATAAGTACGACTACGTACCAGATGTAAAGTTGGGTAAGCGAAATAAACTATTTTGCATATTTGTTGGCAAGTAATTAACACCGTGACACAAGCAACGATAGATAGAAAATAACTCGCCAGATAAACTCTTACAAAGTAATCTCTGTCGTTTTTAGTTAGTTTTTCATAAATAATTCCGTATCTTTTAACAGGATTAAGAATTGTTGACACGTGTCACGACGAAGTTACAATATTTCGACAAATCTTGCAAGTAGCGAGCGAGTATAATTGCGACTACGAGCTGGGACTGGTCGTATCGTCTCGATATAATTCCGTAGCAGATCCTTTTCGCAATTATGGAGGTCTGCTTATCAATACTTACGAAAAACAGAATTTCATAGAACCCGCGATCGAAATTCTGGTGCATTATCTGAGCACCAGATACGAAATCGTCGATTTGGTTCTCGCTGCCACGAATTCCGTTCGCGATCGTTTCCTGGAGATTACGAGAAACGCCGGTGTGTGCGTGAAGCGGCATAATGAATATTTTACCGATAACATGGATGCAAATGTCACGGTGCTGATAGTCATGATTGGCGAGCGAAATGACATAGAACGATGGTTGAGCGAGAATGGGAAATCAACGACTTCCAAAAAAACATTGATTCTGCTGCCGCTCGGCGGCTCGAATATTGATGGCAAGTAATTTCAGTGCTGACGAAGAAAAAATCACGAACAATTAATCAATTTTATAAAAGTTATAAATAAATACGCACAGTAAAAAAATGGTAATTTTAACATTTTTTGCATGTTCCAGAAGGTCCACTCTAAATTTTATGTTAAAATAACTCATTCGTTGTGAGTCACTTATTGACAAACTAGTAAAGTCAAATACTTGACACAATACATTTATATTTGTTATTTTGACTGTAAGCGTGATGTAAAAATAACATAAAATAATTAAAACTACACAAAACAGTAGTTACAGCAACTTGTAAGAAATGTAAATAAAACATTTTAGTTTGTACAATGTGGCCAAAGATTTAAAAAATTTTTTTAGTGTGTTAAATTGACTTTGAGACATCTAGATTAATTGAAATCACTGTGTTAAAAGCACTTAAACAATATTCCATTTTTAAATGACTTGCAAAAAATGTTAATTTGCGAAGTTAACATAAATTTAACACGTGAAAAGATTAAAAAAATAATAATAACATATCAGTATTATGTTAATTTTACATTGAAGTAGTAATCAAAACGTCGTAACACAAGAAAAGTTCTACATTTTGACGCACAATTTTTTTACTGTGCACACACAAACACACCTACACACAAAGTTATATTGTGCAAATGCGGTAGTTACATACATTACCAACTCTAATAGCAGTTGGAAGCTAAGCAGTTTCGCGCAAGCGTCGGCTTTAATCCTAGATTAAACTCTCCTTTGTATCTGTCCAAAATTTAAATCAAGACAACAAGGCAACAAAACAATTAAACTATAATTAAAGTCAACCGATGTTGCTGAAGTATAAGCAAATCAATTTACATTTTACGACTTGGTAAAACACCCGTTTAGGAGTAGATTCTCCAAACGTTTGAAAGATCAAACGACTAAACGATCAGACGATTAACGTCAACTCGTCTATCTACCAATTAAATTACTAATTAAATTTCACTATAAATGTGTGAATTAAAATGTATAGATGAGGAAGAAATATTGACGCAACTTTAAATTACAAATATTTCAAAGTAGTTTAATAATTATTGCTTTCTGTGTATTTCTATGTATTTTTGATCGCGTTGAACCATCAATCTATAAAACGAGACGTGTTAAATATTTCAGATCTTATACCCTCCGGATCGTACGTTATTAAACCAGAAACTCCTGACTTTGATTTCGAGAAATTCACAAACGTGGACGAATTTATGAAGAACTCCGAGGATTCGGCATACCACTCTCCCTATCTTCTCAGTATTGGCAAAGCTATAGTCGGCTTGGTGGAAGTTTCGTCGAGCGTCCGGGAGAGAAATTGTTCCATTGACAATTGCGATGACGACCAGAATTGTGCGGCGACGCAGTTCCGTTCGGAATCAACGCGGGAAATTCGCGAGTCCGATGTCTACGAGACTCTGCGCGTGCAACCAAAATCGCATTCGATAAAATACGTGGTTGCTATGAAGACGCAACATGAACTCGTCGATGTTGCTCTTTATGGAATTGAAATGTCCGAGTTGCGCGTTTTCTCGGACAAAATGATATCTAGAATGCCCGGGCTCTGTCTGGAGAATCTCGTTGGGAATTGCGAAAATTGTACGAATTTTCAAAAACGCGCAGACGAGCGTGATGTTACCGAAGGTAACAAACAAACTGAAGTGTATAATAAACTACGCGAAATTTTTAACGGTCGTGGGGGCCTACGCTAGATGTTTTTTGCATAATAAGTAAATAAATAAATATATATATGCCGGCTTTCCGTGCCATTTATATATATATAAATGGCACGGAAAGCCGGAGATTCAGGTTCCAGGTTCGACTCCTGGCCGAAGTGTTTTTTTCGCAATATTTTAACCCTCTATGGGCCCATGTAACTTTCAAGTCACAAGCTAATATATCCAGATTTTACCAAATAGTTTTAGTTTTTTTCACAAGATGATGTATACGTCTTAATTATATAATGCCTCCTGAAATAACCAATAACAATATTGATGACGGTTGGCAGCACCATCAACCTGAAGTGTCAAAATAAATACCTTGCAAGTTACATTTAAGAAAAAATTCGGTCCATAGAGGGTTAAAATTAAATAGGAGGTAAATGGGGATTTCTTATATAGGTAATGCAAGTATAACATCTTATATGAATTTAGAAATTGAAATTTAATTTCAAAACTCACGTGTAAAAATTTACACGTAAAATGTAATATACAGGGTGTCCCGTTTTAATGTACCACCTGGAATATCGCGAGAACTATGCATTTTCAAAGAAAATAGTTCAGACAAAACTTGCTTGGTTTTGAGAGGGAAACAAAATGGCGTCACTGATTTTTGAGTTGGTGGACGTTTTTTAAGGTCAATTCGAAGTCAACTTTGTTTTTGTAAGTGGAAATCCATATTTTTCTTTACATCTTATTCTGTAAAATCATCTTATTATGTAAAAAAAAAAACAACTTTTATCTGAACCATTTTTCCATCCGACTTCCATATTCCAAGATACAAAAAAATTTATGTTTTTCAAGATGTTTTATTTCCAATTGTTACTACCACCTTACCTGTAAAACTCACTGCAATAAATGCTCAAAGTAGTGAGAAAGAATGATGCTGATAGGAAATTGCTTGTAAAAGTATCAAGAAAACAAATTTCCTATGTGAATCATTCTTTCATAAAACGCGTAAATAAATACTTGGAAGTGCAAGGTCACCACTTTGAGCACTTATTGCAGTAAGTTTCACAGATGAAGTGGTATTAACAGTTGGAAATAAAACAAAAATGGTATAAGAAAACATCTTGAAAAACAAATAAATTTTTTTGTATCTTGGAATATGAAAGTCGGATGGAAAAATAATTCAGATAAAAGTTATTTGTTTTTTTACATAGAATAAGATGTTATAAAGAAAAATATGAGTTTTCGTTTACAAAAATAAAATTTATTCTAAATTGATCTTGAAAACGTCCACCAACTCAAAAATCAGTGACGCCATTTTGTTTCTCCCTCAAAACCAAGTTTCGTCTGAACTATTTTCTTTGAAAATGCATAGTTCTCGCGATATTCCAGGTGGTACATTAAAATGGAACATCTTGTACATATATGTATATGTATTTTTTTTATTACGCAAAAAACACTCAGCGTAAGCTTCCATGACCGTTTAAAATTTCGCGTACTTTAAAACTAAGAGCCTAAACTCATTATTATTAGAAATGTAATATGATAGAAATACAATTAAACGTAAAAAAATATATATTCTAGGAGACATCATTAGCAAAAGTGTCCTGAAAAGCAGCCTGTACGTTCCTGTTTTCCTGATTGCTATTGTGTGCGGCACGATCGTATGCTGCATCATCTTGATTTTCATCATTTATCGTTTCGTGACCGATGATATCCTCGACGGCAATCCGACTCTGACGATCATCCTCGTCCTGATGAATATGTTCACTTTGCTAACAGCGTTGCCCTTCTGCATGACGGACGATTATTTCGACGCGGAAAGTATAAACGCTCAAAAGATCCTTCTGACTACTCTCGCGTTTGGCTTCACATTTTCGATCGTGCTTTCGAGAACGCTGTTCATGGCCTTGTCTACGAGTGGTGTTCTCATCGCTCATATTAACGGATACTTGCTGAGTCTCATGGTGTTCTTCATGTCCGGCGTGCAGATCGCCATATCGATCATGTTTTTCATTCTGAACACCGTGAATTCGGCTGTGATCGTTAGAAGCTCTACTTTTATCGCGTTATTAGGTACGTTGATCTTTCCCCGAAAGTTGATCCCGAATTTATTTTACTTTTTATCTACAGTTCTTCGTATTTTTTTGTTTTAACAACCTAATTGTTTGCTTTTTTGTTGATAATGTTAATTTATTAAAGATTCTAATATCGTTTCCAGGATACGACATGTTCCTTTTAATCGCGCTATTTATCGCTTCCTTCTTCACTACTAAAATACAGCGCAATTATAACGAGGGAAAGTGTTTTCTCGGAACTGCTGGCGGTTTGTTGGTACTATGGACGACATGGCTGATTTGCTTCGTGTCGATGCAGCCGGAGAATCGCGATGTTATCGTTTCTTTCGGCATAATTGGCACCGCTTATTTGATTATTTTTGGCATCTTTATACCAAGAATCTATTATATGATTACGCTTCTGCCCGCGAGAAAAGATCTCGAAAGCAATATCGGCCATTCACCGGCTAATTCGATTGTCAACACGATTGTTAGACAGGTCAGAATACTGCACGTCCTTCTATTTATTTAAAGGCGCGCGCTAATTATAAAATTAAAAAAGAAACAATTTTTTTGATTGTTAATAAAAGAATTTTTCTACAGTCGCGTACTTCTCACGTTTGTCCTACTCGGGAAAATCAGATTCTACAAATGTCACCAATGTATCCAAACTATTACGGGAGTCCAAATCTGAGATCGAAACACATCGTTCGATGCAGAAATTCGAATCACCACGAAATGTCTGACTACGGATTTCAGGCGGAAATGAAAGAGATTAACGCTGATTACGACATACCGCAAATTTCTATTGAAGAAGCAGAGGTGAAATAATCGATCAAATTATTTATATTAATTAAATTGATATTGTCATTTTTTCATTAACTTTCCTATCATTTATTTTTTTAAACGATCACGCGAACAAAATTAAACTTATATCACATTTACACAGTAAAAAAAAAATGGTAATTTTAACATTTTTTGCATGTTCCAGGAGGTCCACTTTAAATTTTACGTTAAAATAACTCATTCGTTGTGAGTCACTTATTGACAAACTAGTAAAGTCAAATACTTGACACAATACTTTACATTTATATTTGTTATTTTGACTGTAAGCGTGATGTAAAAATAACATATAAAATAATTAAAACTGCACAAAACAATAGTTACAGTAACTCGTAAGAAATGTTAATAAAACATTTTAGTTTGTACAATGTGGCCACAGATTTAAAAAATTTTTTTAGTATGTTAAATTGACTTTGAGACATCTAGATTAATTGAAATCACTGTGTTAAAAGCACTTAAACAATATTCCATTTTTAAATGACATGCAAAAAATGTTAATTTGTGAAGTTAACATAAATTTGACACGCGTGAAAAGATTAAAAAAATAATAACATATCAGTATTATGTTAATTTTACATTGAAGTAATAATCAAAACGTCGTAACACAAGAAAAGTTCTACATTTTGACGCACAATTTTTTTTACTGTGTAAATATAAACGTTAGAATAACTAACTTTGAAAATCTTATAAATTTTCAGTCTTCAAGAAACGTCAAAATAGCACCAAATGATGTTGTATACGCGCAGCCAAGGATATACACCTCGCAAAGAATAGTTTTGGTGGAAAATAAAAATACAGAAAATATCCGCAGTAGAGATAATTCGTCACCCACTTCTATATCACACAGAATGTATCCCATGAGATACGCCAGTCCAGCGAATGTTGTGAGAGAGCAAAGGATCGATGAAGAGAATGAAGATGAAGAAGAGGAAGATGATGAGGATCGGGAAGATCAAGAGATCAAAAACGTCGTGAGAGTCACACGTTTTTAACAAATTAATGTACTCGAGTCATCATCTTCCTGTTTGACATTGTGCACAGACTTGTAAATTTTCTGCAAACTAAATAAATATGTGTACAATTTATCTCGATACATAGTTATCAAATTACTACAAAAAAAAAACTTGCAATTCCTCTATTTCGATCCGCATTAATTTTTTCCACAATAGCTTCTTTCATCATCGCGCAGAAAATTCCTTCTTTTTTCCTTAATAATCGTATAATCTTGCTAAACACCAACTTTCATTGCAATTATTGGCGAACTCACTGGCCATTTCGAGGACAGAACTTCGTCGTTGCGACAAGCGAGGCGGACACAAGCGGAAAGCCATGCACGACGCAGAATCAATTTGGCATGTACCTCAACGTCGAAATTGTATTATGGTCGATCGTAATTTCGCAAGCAGGGCACAGATGTGTACTGCGCGGGAATATCGATGACGAGATAGCGAGATAGCGGGCACAACAAAGGGACTCGCGGGAATGAAGTTTGCGCTCACCGCAGTGCGCGGTACGAGAGAACAATTCGTCATTTGCGCCTACGTTTTACTTTTTTTACTTTTTGTTAAAGAGAAATAAATGAACGTTCTATGAGAATAAAAAGTTCTCGCAAGTTAAATTTAACAAATACGAAACTTGGAATTTAATATCAAAAGAGTCAGAATATAAATATATTATTATTTATTTATTATAAAATTGAAACTATACCGTATTTATTTCGATTAATCGCATTTGAAAACACGTATATGGTGTGTATGACCTTTCGAGTCTTCTATCTATTAAATTACAACGTAGCCGCCTCATTGATGACGTCGCTACCCAGTTAGAAAAATTGTGAAAATATTGCACAAAAATGGCATCATAAATGACGACGATTTTTCATAAATGATTGCACTAAGATGATTCGCCATAACGCAACAAGTTTTATCGAAATAAAGTTTTGTAAATAATATTTGTCAAAAATTAGAAAAGAGTCGTTATGCATTTCCATAAGTATGTGAATTAATTTGATTTCTTCATATGCAATTATATATATTTCTATATGTTTTAAACATCACATAGCTGAAATTTTTTTATCAATTATTGAACAATTTCTTTTTAAATTTAATTTTGCAAACATACTGCAATAAGATGATTCGCCATATCGTTATTCTTTTGCTGAAATAGTATTTGGAAATTAATTTTGCAAACAGTTACAAATATTTTATAAAAGATCAATATTTTTACATCTATTTCTCATAATATATTTACATAATTGCAAATCACAATTTTCATCCAAGATTTTGTCACATAATTTCATAAATGTTTTCCTATTGGGGTAGTATTCTTCGAAGAGCAATTTACGCGCGCGCGCGCGCGCGCTCGGCCACGTGTATCGCTATTTATTTCCAGATCATGAGACCACCGTGAAAATTGCGAAAAATCAGAACGTCTGGAGACGGCCGATAAGCCGCCATAATAGAGATAAATCGAAAAGTGCATCGGCTCGTGAAAGGGTGCGTCATCCGAACTAACCTTCGCATTGCCCCCCATGAAAAAGCTTCTGCGCAAGGACGAGCTTTCAGCAGCTATAAAAGCTCGCACGAGACTCGTCCACTTTTCAGTCATATTTAGAGCTCTTCAAGTGATAAAAAAAAAGTGTAATTTTGAGAGGAGCTACTTGAATTACGTGCGCTTATCAGATTGAAGAAAAGAGAAAAAGAGAAGGTCGATCGCGGAAAGTTTATTGATGTACAAAAAAAAAATTATTCTGTATTTTCAAGTAAAAAAAACCTCCATCAGGAAATGTAATAGATAAGCGCTATTTGATAAAAATTATTTCGAATTTAATTACCAGGTTATTCGATATTGAATATTGTAAGACCGCGATATTCGATATTAAATATTGTAAATTTTCTTTGTAAAAGACAAAACTTCACTTGCGGCTGTTTTCTCGCAAACATCGCGACAAATACATCTGTATGGTGCAATTATTTTTGTTTTGCATTGTCATCGTAATCAATGAACGAGAATGAGATCGAACGACCTGAAGAGCAACTGCGTGATCACCGTCGCGGTGGTTTATCTCAGTATCTTGCTGGATAATGTCTTGTTGACAGTAGTTGGTAATTAAAACCGGAATGAAAGAGAGAGAGAGAGAGAGAGAGAGAGAGAGAGAAATAAGTCACTTGATAGGCCGCGCAATTTGCTGATCCGTAAAATGTTTCAGTGCCGATTATTTCCGATTATCTGTGCACACTCGACGTGAACACGACCGCGACCAACGAGGAGGACGAGAACGGCAGGGTGGGATTACTGTTGAGCTCAAAAGCTTTAGTTCAATTAATTTTGAATCCCGTCGTGGGTACCCTAACCGGCACTGTGGGATACACTATACCCCTTGTTTTCGGAAATCTGAATCTCTTGCTGGCTGCTTTGCGTGAGTTATAGAGACGTCATTTTCACTCACATCGACGGTTTTTTGCTAAATAAAATCACATATTTGAATCAACAATTTAAACAACTATATATATATATAGAGAAAACAATTATTTTAATAATTTCTAATTTAACTGTAATCCTGATATTTTTATTTTGATAAAAGAAATTGTGGGAGTAACGCATTTTATTTGATTGTAAAATATTAAAACTTGTGCAAAAATTCTGACGTCTTCTTTCTATCTACTATTATTATATTCTACTGTTTAACGAAAAAACAATTTCACATAATTTTTTTTTAAATAAAATGATGCTTTTGTGAATGTAAAATTTTCTTGTCGCAGTATTCGCATTCGGACAAACGTACGAAGTGCTGTTCTTAGCTCGGAGCATTCAAGGCATAGCCTCGGCATGCATAGCGGTCTCCGGCATGTCTCTGGTTGCATCTCACTACGCCGAAGAAGATGAGAGATCCAAAATCATGGGTTTCGTTCTCGGCAGCATCGCTCTCGGTGTTCTACTGGGTTATCCAATCGGTTCTGTTCTTTACGATCTCGAGGGCAAAATGGCACCTTTTCTATTGGTGTCTTGCCTCATTGTTGTAGTTATTTGTAAGTAATTTAATAAAAAACTATAAAAAAAACTGCACGAAATAATTACCTTGTTTCAAAATAGCGAAAAATTGAAACGTGTTAATTTTTACAGGTTTGCAAATCTTGACATTCAACATCCAGACGAATGCAGAAGTAAGTACGTTCTTCTTTTTTTTAATGTGCAACTTTAGTTTAATTAAAAATGAGAACGTACAAAACACGTTCTTATATAATAATATAAAGCAAAATCGAATCCGTTTTGTTTTAATTAAATCTTATGATTTTATTAGCCAAGCGAAGAACAGAACACTTGGACGCATTTATTGTCTAATATACATATCCTTATCATCTTCGGTGCCATTTGGTGTTCAACATCGCCAATGGCTATATTAGAACCTTGCTTGCCAATTTGGCTTCGAACTCACATAAAACCTAAGGTTCGTAACGAATTTATTGTATTATTTTACAAAGATGCTAATAAAAAAATGTCAATAAACATTTTGCTCACCAACTTTCGTTTACTTTGGATTTCGTGTGTTAATTTCACTTGACTCAATAAACGTTTGAAAAACACAGAAAAGTTTTAAGCTTTTAATATTTTGCAGAAATGGCAACTCGGCACGGTATTCATTCCGGATAGTCTAGGCTACTTAATTGGAACTAACTTCTTTGGCGTGGTAGCGTATCGTTACGGGCGCAGCAAAGTGGCGATTCTGGCCATGTTCGTGGTCGGCGTCAGCGCCATTCTCATTCCATCGGCAAACGCAATGTCGCAACTGATATTCCCGCATTTTGGGATGGGTTTGGGCATCGGCGTTGCCGATGCGGCTCTGGTGCCATTACTGGCCAGCTTGGTGGACCACAATGGCAACTACGGACCCGTTTATTCAATCCAACAAGTGGCTGTCAGCCTGGCCTACTCTTTAGGTAAAAACATTGAGATCAAAAAATTAAGACACCTCATAAGAGTAATAAAACTAGTCTTCGAAAACCAAAAATAGTTTTTTCTTCAAGATAAAACTGTGCACATAATTGCGTGAATTGAATTTTAAAGGACCCATCATAGGCGGCGAAATGGTCAAGGCCGTGGGATTTCCATGGGTCATGCGAATCGTGGGTATCGTGAATATAGCGTATTGTCCGGTGTTGATATATCTCACGTTGGAACGAAGGAAGTTACTGGCTCAGAAGGAGCAAAAGAAAGATTACGACACGTTTCAAAAATCCGCGGCACCGTACGAAAGATTTCACGATTCCGACGACGATCTTTGACGGTAAACATTAAATATCATAGTAAATATTTGTTTTTTAAGAGAATGATTCGTAAACGAATGGAGAAGATAATATACCAACAATTATCATAATTATCATAATTAGAGCGAGTTATTGTTCAGTAGATTAGCACGCGCGTATGCAATATCAAATATCGCTTATATTCGCTTTTAGATACTTCGGGACAGCATCTGGTGACGTGTCTCTAATTAAACGCGCTATGTAACACACCGGGTCTTTGTAACTGCCAACCAACTGAATTATTGGCCGAACAACATCCCTGGGACTATCATTCGTGCGGCAGAACGACGTTCTCTCAGATCGAAGAACAGGAATTCATTGAATTCAAGGGAGCGATATGCAACACGGACAAGAAGCGCGTTTGCGATTCCATAAAGTAGAAAACATGACAACGATCGATCGGCCGGCTGGCCGGTTCTCCTTGCTAATGTACTCGGAGCTATAGCAAAATTCTGTTACGTTGTGCATTAACGGTCTACTTCGAATATTCGCTCATCATTAGCCCACGCAGAGATCAGAATGTGCGCCTAATCAACATATTATACATATTTCGAAATTTTTTGTTGCTTCTAAGAGTTAAGAATTTAAAAAAAGCAACCTCAAAATAACATACAATATGAAAAAAATATTAGATACAAAACTTTCCCTCATTAATTGTTTCAAAAAAAGTTTAATATATATATAATATATATACAAGGTGTCCCAGAATTGGTGTGACATCTCTCGTAGACAGGTAAAAGAAGTAAACCTGAGTCGAAAAGTCCTGAACCATTTTTTTTCTATTATTTATAATAAAGGAGTAATTATTGAATAAATCAGAGGCCAATCAGCGCCGATCTATAGCCAGGCACACGTCAGTGAACCGCGCGGAGCGCTCACACACATACCAGGCGCGTGACTCACTGCCGTGCGCCTGGCTAAAGGTCGGCCTGATTTACTTAACAATTACTCCTTTATTATAAATAATAGAAAAAAAATGATTCTGGACTTTTCGACTCAGTTTTACTCCTTCTACCTGTCTACGAGAGATGTCACACCAATTCTGGGACACCCTGTATAATATAATATAATATAAATATAATATAAATATAATATATATATATAAAAATAAAGCTAAGAACAATTAATCGTAGAAAAGTTAAACCGATAAATATACATCCTTATTTTTTCAAAACAATTGAAGATACAACGCGAACAAGTGGCGGACGTCGGTGTTCGAGAAATTTGTAAAGCGGGAAACGAGGGAGGATATGAGATGGAGAGTAACTTTATCACCCCCGGGGGTTTATTCGGTGAACAACACCGATCGTCGTTAGCAAAGCTGTTGCACTAATCACATGGCCGCAATGTGAGAGAAGCTAAATGCAACCCAGTGGGCGGCGTGTGAGCACACACCGCGCAAATCTTTTTAAAGATGAATTGTTCCCCTCAAAAAAAAAGCATTGTTGCACTAATTTATGGCTGAATTATTAATAATGTAAAATTCAATGTTATTAATAATCTCTGATCGATGAGTTGTCGCTACAAAGTTGCGTGTCATTTGTAGCCAATAGGTAAAATGTCTCTAAAATCAATATTATACATATGTGTTGACATGTAACTCTCTAAATTGTAAAATCAATAAAACAATTTGACCTTCTTCCACAGACATCAAATAAAAGTTTTGTTTTTAAGATCAGCTCGCTCTTCACAAAAGTTTTAACAACAATATTTTTATGATGTTATTTATTCCGATTGTGCCCTCATTCGCGAAATGATTTGCATAAACGTATCTCTTCTCGTACTTATGTAATTTTCTTTCGACAACAAATTAGACTATTTGTATGTATCGTTTTTGCGAAAAAGTTTCCGTAAATTAACGAAAAAGTTAATTTTGTTCAGCACACGAATGTCACAGAAAAAAAAAAAAAAAATAAGAGTTAAATTATATTCTATAAATAGAAAATGGTGTGCGTGTGTGTACGTGTAACTCTAATCTCGCGCGAAATAAAGTGCGGTGAATAGTATGTCGGGCAAAGCTCTTCGCTATGTCGTTAGCAGAACGAGGATAGGTAAAGAAAGCCGTAATAAAACGTGAAAGAGACGACAAGGCGAAGTCAGTGACTGAAAAGACGCGAAAGAGCGTATATTTAATGGAAGAGCCATAATGACGGTCCGGTAAGTCGACCGCGGAACATTTTGATAGCCTCGTTCGGTTACGCAAACATGAGGAGTAACATTGAAATAACGCGGTGAAAAAAAAAAAAAAAAAAAATCACGTCGGATATATCGAGTGAATTATTGTACGGTTGTGTACAACTTCTAGATTTTCCTGAACAATTTTTAAACGTTCTTCACAGACGCATTTAAATTTCGATCACGCGTCGTGCGACCAATCTTTAGAGACGATGTCTTCATCATTTATTATTTTCTCTTTCAATAAAGTGGTCTTTTCACTTTTCCACGTTCCTGTCGCGGACACTGTCTCATTTCTGTTCGCCAATATATATCCGTCTTTGTATTCCGGGATTTGACAGAGATTAGTGACAACATCGTTGCACGAAAGATCGCAAAATAAATTCAATGATAAAGCGTGCCAACCCTCGTCGTCGACCCTGAAGCGAAATTTAGCGATCGCCTTCACCCACGAAGCCATGACCCCCTTTTCCCTCATCGTCGCTAATGATTCATTCAGTCCCCATCAAATCTCGATGACCCCTACTCGCACTTTTTTTTACGCAGTGCGTCATTGTCTATCTCATTCTGATTAAAAAATCCCGTCCTTTTTCCATCGCTTCGTTTTTCAAAACTTTATCATTCTGGCTAGAATCCAATTCTCGCGACATCGAAACCCACGATAATTTATTCACCACTCTTGGTTGTGTATATTTTAGAATTGTGTACGTTGGAGACACGCGATTTTGCATGTTTAGAATTATGTGAAAAACAAAAAAAACAAAAAAAACAAGATGGAAGTTCACAACTACCTATATATTCAAAAAGTAGTTTCAACAGGCAGCATTTCAGAATTTCTATTGCAACAATAGATCTGTGAAGCTCCGATTGTGATCGGATATTGTCTTCATAATTTGCTGACATTTACATGAAATAATAGAATCTCATAGACATACGCAATATAACAAGTACAGTTATTTCAAAGAAACACAATACACACATGTATATGTATGAATATTACCACTTCTATTTAAAGAATTGCAACTGTTTCTGATTGCAAATAAGATGCAGTATTTTAATTAGCTCGGAAGACATTGTTGCAAGACAAACATTTTAACTACCTAGCGGATAATAACAGACATGTGTGTGTGAGACAATGTGCAGCTCCTCTCTCTCTCTCTCTTTCTCTCTCTCTCTCTTTCTCTCTCTCTTTCTCTCATTCTAAAAAATTAATATCGTAAGACCTTCATTGATATAAAGTTAGCACTTTTAAAACAAATGATATAAATTGCAATATAATTCTAATTGCGAGAGTATGAGAATGCAATTACAATAGTGAAATACGACAATGATAGTTAAATATCTCGAAACGTATCATACACACAAATATTCGATCTCGGAGAGAGTTACGCGCTCGTAAAGCTTCCGCGATGCTTTTGTGTCGTGGTAGCTCGATCGATTGAGCACACGCGGCATCATCAAATATCGACGCACGACGACCGCTCGCTCGTCGGTAGCAAAATTCCGAAGCCGAAAATCCTTGCAGGTGGCAGGGGATGCTGGCCTGCCGGTCTCTGCTTGCCAGGATAACTTTCTCTGTCTCTTTCTCTCTTTCTCTCTCTCTCTCTCTCTCTCTCTGTCTCTCTCTCTCTCTCTCTTTCTTTCTCTTTCTCTCTCTGTCGGCCGCTATCGATCTTCCCAGAGCGGCGGGAGCGCGCGCGAGAGAGAGAGAAGATGCGGCTCCTCTCGATGTCCCTGCCGCACGTGCGCGTACACATGCACACCTATCGCCTACACTACCAGCTGGAAGATAAGCGTTCGTGAGGTTGCGCACATCGAACGCGGCTGCTTTACAACGAAGACGATAAGTTCGTGAGCCTCACGCATACTCTCGTACGTGCAAAGAACTATCTAATTCAAGTAATACCCACACTACAAAAACGATAAGAGTCCGTGAGGACTCACGTGTGTCCGGGAACAGATATACGAATGTACGTCCGATGCGGAGATAGCGAGCCAAGATACACACGAACGCGATGACGATGCGCGTTCGCGCGAGACGCACGGAGCGGAGCGGAGAAGCCGTAGGAGGCTTGGACGCGTAACCAGCTCCGCGCTGCTCTCCTCCGACACCCGCCTGATTCGACGAGAGAGAAGGACAGAGACTTCAGTAAGCTCGGAGCTTTTGACTGGTTCGTAGATGCTCGCTGTGTCGCGTCGTCGTAGTGTCCGTCGTCCCGCGTCCCGGCGCAAAACGCAGCACACGCGATTTGGTCTCAGTGACAGACGATATTAATAATGCGGCAGTGATATCCCGACTTGGAAAGTTTTCTTTGAACTGTCAATTGTGAGATTAGAATGAATTTGTTTCCGAAATAGTGTGAAAATCAAGAAATGTCACGAACAAGCGGAAGCTGCAACGATTGTCAGAGGTGATCCTGAAGAATGACGTTGACAGAATGGGATGATCTGTCGGGGGGTGGTGTTTCGGTGGTGAATGACAACCTGCCGAACGAAATGAAGATTCTATCGGAAATGACTTTGAAATAAACGCGGAGAATTACTGTCTCTTCTCGTGATACTATCGGAAATGAGATAGACGGAGAAACTTTGCCTATTCTCGCAATCTAGAAAGAGGACAATGTGCCGGTCGATGCAGTTTCGAGCTAGTGATCGCACGTTGTCATCGGGCTGCGCGTCGATCTTGTCTGGCGCGCAAGATCGGAGCGAGATCCTCGATAAATAACTCGGGCGGGAAGGTGCGAGAGGGACGGGCTTTCTTCTCTTCCGAGGCCGACAACGTGGAGATGATCGAAGCCTCGTGCAAAGAAGACGATGATCTTGCTCCCGGAAGCGCGAAAGCGCTTATTTAGAGCTCACGTTGATCACGTGTGGTCTTGAGCGATCCTGTTCGGAGACCCGGAAGAGCGAAAGCGACTCCGACGAGTTCTGTGTTAATTAACACAATAAGTCGACGAAATAAATGAGAAGGTAATTATGAAAGATTAAAAAAAAAAAAAAACTGCGAAGATCGAAGATCACTTGCGATAATTAGTCAAACGTCGACGCAAAGTTCTTGAATTCGAGCACGTCAGATTTGCGAAAACAAATGAGTGTTAAGAGCAATCAAAGTCCGAATTTGATGGAAACTTTGAAGAAATAGATACATCGAATGACGATGAACTTAAACGTGAACAAAATAAACGCGAGTTATGATCGTGTGACGAAGATTTTGGCATCAAGTTCGAATTTTGCATGACGGATAACAATCGCGTTTTTATTTGGCAAGCGCCCAGTTTCTATCGGTCGATCATGATTGAACGCATTTGGAATTCGAATTAAAGAGTTCGGAAAAAAACATTTGACACTGAAAGAAAAATATGTTTACCGGGCAAAAGATTGTGATAAAAATGCTAAGTATACATGGTTAGGGTACAGTGTTACGATCGAGTTACTTCCGATGACGTTCACTTAAAAAAAAATACGACAGGATGTTAAAAACAAAATACATCGCGACCCGTTGAAATGATCCGTCTATCGGATATGATAATTGTCAACGAAAGACTCGATTGTATGCGACGAGCTTTCACGTGTGACAGGAACGCGTGAATGACATTTCGCAGGAGTAATGGCTATTTCGGGTCGGACACGCGGATGTGCTACATTTATAAGACAATCATCGCAAACAATTTATTGCAGGTAAGCGACGCTGGTTATATGTGTCGATTGAATAAATTAAACAACTCCGAGAGTAAACAATTAAACTTTGCGTAAACTTCGCATATACTTAAATTAATTTTCAAAATTTTTCCGTGTCGATAAAAAAAGTTGAGAATCGCAATTAAAAAACGTAACATTATTTACGCAACATTATTTAAAATGTTCATGGAACATTGAAAAAACTTATACTTTGAGTTTGTGTATAACAATAATAATATAATAATCTATCTATATTATATAAATATTTTTGTATATTCAAACGTATCAACGTCGCCAAAATATTTATCGCATTTGTACCCACGTCTTACCTTATCCGCGTCAATTTCAATTTTTAGTAAATAAAATATCGGATTTATAGAGCGGGATACGTGCGCGGAAAGGATAATCATCGACAGGAAACGTATTAACAAGGGACTTAATGTGAGGCGGTTATTCTCGTTGAGAACTGCAGACGACGGCAACGGCTTCTTCATGAATATTGAATCGCGTAATTACATAATTCAGTGATTAGACGTAGATTTCCCCGGTGGGTCGTTGCCTTCGATCTCTCCCCCTCCCACCCCCTTCCTCCCGTAGGAGAATTGAAAGAGCACGAAAATGCGCAACAGAAAAGATTAACGGAGGAAAAAACACAAGGATCCCGTCCGCATACGGATTTGCATAATTTATATATATCAATACAATATGAAATTCATGAAAAATCGATCTTTCGTCAATGATATCGTTACCAAACAGAGAATCGTAAAATATTTATTTTCTAACATTCGTACATCAGGAATTATTTGTGTCACAACTTCGAATGTTGTAGCAATAAAACTTCTCATGTAAAACAAATGTCTCTTGTGGACACGTGTAATAATATAACAAAAACTCGTCACTTCTTAAAATTTCATTTCTAAAACGTACAAATTTGCGAAGACATGAAGACGGTGCAAATTTTTCCAGATTCAAATTTCCGATAGTCACAAAAATGCATGAAAACATCGGAAAACGAGTGACCAACGAGATATAAAAAAAACAAAAAAAAACAATTTCATCTCTACCGTACAATTCTCATCGCAGACACAACTGAACATTCCTATTGCGCTCAATGCACGTTACATTAAGCTTAAGGTGATGGAAGCAGAAGACGAAGTGGATGATGAGTTGTCGGAGGCCGCCGACACAGAAGTAATTAAATAATTTGCACTAATGCTCTCTGTTTTTCTTTCTTTTGTTGTACAGTCATTTTTCGATATGCTTGAACATATGAAAAAAAAAAAAAAAAAAAAACATTTCCTTAAAACTCGAATATTGACAACTGCAATATTTTTCGAAGGCAAATCACAACAATAACCTAGAGAATTTCGAAACAATGAAGATATCCCCAAAACCGGTGTCCGAGAGGACATCGGAAAAGGACAACTGTCCTTTAGTTTGCACGTCCAATCCCGAACAGTCGAAAATTAACGATTCTCACGACGACAATCCCGAAAAGCTGAAAACGTCCGCGCGAACAGAATCAAAAATACCCTTAAGTACAAGTACAAAGACTGACACGAAAGAGGGTGAAATCGCCAGGTTGTGCAAGAGCAAGAGGATTAGTTGTCAGGACACCATACACGAGTATGACGAGGAGGACAATCTCACCATGGATAGGGTTGGAAGGTAATTTATATTCGGCGATCGTAAAAAAAAAAAAAAGTGAAATAACGGCAACTAACATTGCCTGTTTTCGTTCGACGAAAGGTATTTGGAAGCGCATCCTGCTTTAGTGGAAACTTGGCTGCAAGAGAAAGCAAGCCTCGAGCTTCGGCAACGACTGCAGAACACGTGTATGCTGCAAACAATAACACCGAGCGCGCCAAGCGTGCAGCAAGAAGAAACTCTCCTCAATCGAGGAGGCAAACGCAACAGCGTGACGTCCGATCTCTTCCAGACTTGGCTGGCTTCGAGCTCGCCTGTGAAGCGCAGCAAGAGCCCCAATAGGTAACTACAGAGTGAGATAATATCGTTTTACACTTTCATAACTTTCAAATGCTCTCACACACTTGATGAGATCTGATAAAAACATTGATACAAATTAAATTCTGTTTGTCTTGATACATAAAAATATTTTTCAAGTTTACCGAAGAGTTGTTTAGCGGTTGAACACAAAAATATCAAACATTTCAGGACTCATACCTCGCTAATGGGTCGACGCGAAGAACTAGGCAGATTGGACGAGAGCGATCTATTTATGGAACTGATACGGGATGTGGCAAACGAGCTAGATATCAATGTCCTTTGTCATAAGATTCTCGTAAACGTTGGCCTACTCACTCATGCCGATCGCGGCAGCTTGTTCCTGGCCAAAGGGCCTCTCGAGGATCGGTATCTGGTGGCAAAGCTGTTCGATGTCACGCAAGACACCGAACTCGAGGAAGCCATGCAACGGGCCAAGAACGAGGAAATCAAAATACCATTTGGCGTCGGTATCGCCGGTTATGTAGCACAGACTAAGGAGATTATCAACATCAAAGATGCTTACAAGGTTTCGGCTTTGTCATCGAATGATCGATATATCGATTATTGTTAAAATCAAAATTCGATGAATGTGGTTACAGGCCTCATTTGCAGAGATGCCAGTTTGCGGACACTAGCAACATGCAGCAGCAAGTGGAGGGGACGCGCACACAAGCGAGCAGCCACTCGCCGAGGCGCTGAGCGCACACGTACACGGCTGTTCACCTGTGTGCGTTTTGTCTGTGTATCCCCTCTACTTGCTGAGCATGTTGCTAGCGTCCGCAAACTGGCATCTCTGCTCATTTGTTGGCTTATAATCACATTCATTCGAATTTTAATTATGAATTCTCCGAAGCTACATTACCACCACAATTTGATCAATTAAAAACCAAAAATTTACTATTAGAACATGATTTAATGATAGAGTTAGGGCTCGGTTTCCTCTGTTCGCTATCCTTGTTTTGATGACGTCAGAGGTGAGAAATATATCAGGAAACTTTCATTGTCAACTAGCAACTTTAATTTTTAGTTTTCTCATAAAAAGTTGATATTATACTTGACGGAGGGATATGCGAGATATGCGAACAATTCACTTGTGTGTAGTGAAAATACAGTGTAAAAATCGAGAAATTAAATGTGAAATCTCAGCTGTTTTCTAACTTTTGTAGTGAAACAGCTGAAAAACAGCGTTTCTACTTAGCGAATTATTTTATACTTTTGCACGTGATATATCAGACTGAAGTCAGAGTTATTGCATATTTGTACAAGTTTCAAGATTACAAAAAATATTATTTAATTTTGAAAACTAAAAAAAGAAACACTTTCTGCGATATTTCTAACTCTTCTAACGTCATCAAAACAAGAATGAGGGAGCCGAGTCTTAACTCCCACTGTGACTAATCGGATTCATAGATGTAATTAATCGGCATCGGGTTTGTACGTTGCCGAAATTAAGATAAGCATCTCTGTTGCGCCTATCCAGGATCCGAGATTCAACAGTGCGATCGACATGCGAACGGGATATAAGACGACGCTGATCTTGTCAATGCCTATATGCAATTACGAAGGTGACGTTATCGGAGTCGCTCAAATTATCAATAAAACGAACGGTAGCAACGAGTTTACTGACAGAGACGTCGAGGTGTTTCAAAGGTAAAAATCAAAAAAAGATAAATGTAACTTCGAAAATTAAGTAGGTTCGCGTATACGCGAGATAACAAAAAATGAACATAAAGTATCGCATGTTAAAGAAGCAAAACACATAGTATTGCACTCGATTGATTGCGTAACGATGTAAGGCCGATGTAAGGTTACAAGAGCACGTAATTGCCGCGCAATTATAATCGGCGCCACGCGCGATCGATACGTTTATTAATACAATCTAGCGTCTAATTTTATCTTACCACCCATCGATTGTCGCAGATACCTCACGTTCTGCGGTATCGGCATACAGAACGCCCAACTGTTCGAGCTGTCCGTGCAGGAGTATCGGCGCAATCAAATACTCCTGAATCTGGCACGGAATATATTCGAGGAGCAGAACAATCTCGAGTGCCTCGTCACGAAGATCATGACCGAGGCAAAGGAGCTGCTCAAGTGTGAAAGATGTGCTGTTTATCTGCTAGATTTGGACTGCGGAGAGGCAGTAAGTGCGCTATTTGCGAGGCATCGATTTGACCTTTGAACTATATCGATATATTGTTAAATTGTAAAAGCATTTTCTTCGACTTTACAATTTTATATCTCAATATATAATGTTGTTAATAATATTGAATAAAAAAAAAAAAAAAAAAAAACAAATTGTGCGATGATTAAAAACACAATAAGAGATGCTAAGTTTCGTTGCAGGGTCATCTCGAGAAAATCGTTGAGCGTCCGGGGAAATCGGTACAAGAGAGCAGAAAGCCGTTATCGAGAAGAGAGGTGAGTGGCACCGCCACGTGTTACTCGAATTTGTAAGTCTGATGATTTTTTCTCTTTCCTGGCGGCTCAGAGCAACAACATCGACATGGAGGACATTTTCCAACAACATGTGAGTGATAAACAAATTCTTGCGAATTTGAATAAAAGCCTCTAAATATAAAAGTTTGTTTTTTTTCAGTATCTTTCGAGAGATCTTCATTCTTTGAGATTTTACTCTTCTCAAAGCATCAGACATGAAGAAATATTAAGCGTTTCGTTAAACATACGATTTGTCGGAAACTTACGAGCTCGCGAATATATACAACTCGTATAATCAAGTTTTTCATCTTTTTCAGGCATCTATTGAGGGCAATAAGTTCACCATGGTCTTCGAAATGGATAACGAAACGCAAGAGGCGCGTATCTACCGACCGAGTAACGCCGACCTGTCCAGTTCGTTGGGACAGATCGCGAGGTACGTTGCCGCGACAGGACAAATTCTTAACATCGGTGATGTCACCACATGGTTGAAGAAAGACGTGATGGAAAGCGGCCAGGAACTCATCAAAAGTATTCTGTGCATGCCAATTGTGAACGGACAGAGGATTGTCATCGGAGTTGCTCAATTGATCAATAAGGTCTGAATTGATCATTTTCTTTTTACTATTTTTTTTAACTGATTTTTAATAATTCGAGTAATTTGTTAACAACTTGCATGTAATTCTATAAATAATTACGTTACGATAATTTGTTATGTTAATCGCTTGCGCGTATCGTGCGCGACTTTTACGCTGCAAAAGTTAAACACACGTGTGTTTAAATAAAATATAGAGAAACATAGCAAAAAGAATTTTTTGCAGGACAACGGCGCGTCCTTCACCGACTCGGATGTGTCGATTTTCGAAGCGTTTGCCATTTTCTGCGGTCTCGGAATTCACAACACGCAAATGTACGAGTCCGCGTGCAAGCTGATGGCGAAACAGAAAGTCGCCCTCGAGTGTCTAAGCTATCACGCGACCGCCAACAACGAGGACGCTCTCCGGCTTGTCTCCGACATTATTCCGTCTGCGGAAACATACAATCTCTACAGCTTCACGTTCATCGACTTTGATCTCACCGACGACGATACGTGTCGCGCTACTATTCGGATGTTCAAGCAATGCGATCTGATACAAAAGTTCCATATACCGTACGACGTTTTGTGTAGGTGGATCCTCAGCGTAAAGAAAAATTATAGGTATGTATTATCCATCGTTTTTGCACTAAATGTTTTGCACATTCGAAGCATTGGACTTGCAGAGATTTGAACTTGATAAATTAATTTTAACAGGCCGGTGAAATATCACAACTGGCGGCACGCGCTAAATGTCGCGCAAACAATGTTCGCAATGTTGAAGACCGGCAAGATGGAACAATTCATGACCGATTTGGAAATTCTCGGACTCCTGGTGGCCTGTCTGTGCCACGATCTGGATCATCGCGGTACCAACAATGCGTTCCAGACGAAAACCGAGTCCCCGCTGGCGATTTTATATTCGACCAGCACAATGGAACATCATCATTTCGATCAGTGCGTCATGATTCTCAATTCCGATAGTAACAACATCTTTCAAAACCTGTCGATGGAGGACTACAGACGGGTGATGAAAGTAGTAGAGAGCGCTATCTTGTCAACCGACCTAGCGATGTACTTCAAGAAAAGAAATCGTTTTATGGAGGTGATTGACGAGGGCGAATTCGACTGGCAGAGCGAAGAAAAAAAAGAATGTAAGAGTCACTATTACTTCTGGCTACTATCACAACAATCGATATATCTGTCTTTCAGATTCTTAAATGTGTGTAGATATTTTGAACGATTAATCAATCTTCCTTTCTTTCTTTGCAGTATTATGCGGTATGATGATGACCGCGTGCGATGTGAGCGCAATAGCAAAACCTTGGGATGTGCAACATCGCGTGGCAAAGCTGGTTGCTGACGAGTTCTTTGATCAAGGTGACCTGGAACGTCTTCAGCTGAACCAGCAGCCGGTGGCGATGATGGATCGCGAGCGGCGAGATGAGTTGCCGCAAATGCAAGTCGGTTTTATCGACGTTATTTGCTTGCCACTCTACAAAGTCCTATCGGAAACGTTCCCGTGGATACTACCGCTCTATGAAGGCACTATCGAAAATCGAAAGCACTGGCAGGATTTAGCGGAGAAGGTCGAGATGGGACTGACGTGGATCGATCACGATACAATCGAGGAACCGGTAGAAGAGTTTATCTCTTACGAGCCTAAGGACATCGAGTTTACAGTAACGACCTTGAACTGTGTTCATGCCGACAAAAAGGAACAGGTGACTGACAAGTCAACGCTCGGCAGATTCGCTTCGTTGAGAAAAGGCGGACGTACATTGAGCAAGGGAGTTCGACATCGTATCAGCAGGTCGCTCTATGCTAGGAGCAGCTCGGAAGACGGCGGCAGACCGAAGGCCTTGTTGCCGGAGAGAAAAAACCGGAACAAACTGTGTTTGCTCATTTGACGGCTAACTTCGACGACGCTCGAGAGCATCCCTGAGTGACACTTAATAAGTGATGATATTGAGAGATAAATATTTTTGCAACACATCGCAACTTCTAATTGTCGAAGGTGGAATCTTTAACGTGCGAGTTGCTTAGACGATGATCGATTAGATTGGTGAACAGCGTGGCTGTTACACAGAAGACAAGATTTAAAATGAACCTAGAGAAGTTGGTCCCAATTTGAGGGAATTAAGAGTTAGAGAGAATCATGATAAAAAGAGAGAAAGATCGTTTCCTGCTTTGATATGTAAAGAATTCATGTTTTCGAAGAATATCACTAAGATACTGAATAAATTGCACGAAAAAAACTTTTAAAGCTGCTGTTTTCTCTCTCAGAGTGATCAAATACTCGTAGGAAATGAATCCTTTTTGAAAATTTTCAAGAGAGAGAAAATTATTTCGACTTACAAAAATGATTAAATTTTGCAATCTAAAAAAATTGATTTAGAATCGACAAACGTAGATTTTGTGCAAATGAAAAATTCGCTATTTGTAAAATTCGTGTACTTGAACAAAATTGAAAAAATTAACAATATTGGCAAAAAACGCAACAAACGTTTAGACCAGAATGATTGCAATACAAACCGAAAAGAAACTATATTGAGCAAAAACCCATCTACAATAAAAAACCAACAAATTAATAAAATAGTAAATATAACATTTTAGTTTTGCTCATTTCACAGTATTTTATAAAAAAATGAAGAGATTATAAAAATCTCTACATTATCTGATCAAATTGGTTAAACAATAAACTAAAATCAAAGATTTTAACATTTTATCATAAAAAAAAATGTTGCACCAGAAATATAAAAAAACAAAACAAAATTGAAACAAAACTATACAACATTTTCTCTAAAAACATTCCTAAAGAAAATAGTTGGATATCTTATCAATTTCACTATGGTTGATATTATACCACTGCAAGATATAGAAAAACGACAAATCAAAATACCGGAGTAATAACGTTAACGATAAATTTTCATGATTATAAAATAATAAATCACATACGCGAGAAAGAAAAACAGAAAGAAATTAAGAAAAAAGAAAATAAATCTCTACAGTGATCTCATGAAGAATCTCACGTACGAGTTTGAAAAGACTGTTCCAAGACGGTAGGTTTTAAGGCGATAATACGTAGGCACGATATTATGTAAACTTATGTACATTTAGTTGATGGCTAGGTAGCTAGAGAAACTCGACCGTCGGTCGTTGTCACTTTACAACGACATTGCTCATAATTGCAATTTCGTAGAGCGCAAAAGAGTGTGTGTGTATGCATGTAAACACGTCAAGTGTTGTCAGACGATGAATTCAATTTTGACAATCTTTTTGTATTACATCTTGATGATGTTCTAGGCTATACTTCGCGCGACAAACAAAGATATCGCTTATAGATTGGAAATGTGTGAGAATGGACTCGCAAACACGCTTCCACGTGATTTCGTTGTTTTATCAGTTCGAAACTTTTCACACAAATCGATATCCATAGTAACAAAGAAACGAATAATTAGAAAATAATTATTTTTGAGTAATTATTATATTTCAAATTTTAACAAATTAGAAAATTGCACTTTTAGTTTTTAAAGAATTTTGACATTTTAAATTTTGTACAAGAATAAGTAATATTTATAATTTTTCGTGCATAAAAAATGCATGAACTGCGTTTAAAAACGTACGTAATTCGTGACGCAAGCGTGATCGCGAGTCCGTCAATTATTTCCAGTTTTCAAGTTTTGTACGTTGATAAAAGATTGATAAACATGAATTACGTTAGCATTACGTGCTTGCCTCTTTGGTTGTGCGCTTTTCCGTTATTCTGTTATTACGTCCCGAGTGGACGATTGTGCGATCTCTCGTGGCAATTAGCGCGCAATAATTGAATTTCCTTTGCAATTGACGTAATATTGCGTCGATTAAGTCGCGTCAGATATATTGCGAAAACCGGCGATACATTATTTTCTACAGAATTTCTCAAGCACGCGTCATTTTCTTGGAAAATAGGATGTGAATATACGAGAGTGAAATGATTTCTAGTCTTTTGATATAGGTGCAAATCAATTATTCCTATATCAAAACTTATTGCACATGATTAAATAAAATCTGAATGTGCTCAAATAGTGAAGTTAAACGTTTTTATGTCAAATTATTTAAAAAAAAAAAACCCTTCTAAAAAAGATCGCTTCTTTTATATGAGCATTGCTTTAAACAACATATTAACACACGATAACTTTGTTTATCGAAAAATGTTGAACATAAAATAATAAACACCTTACACACGTACCTTAGATCCTTAATCCTCGATTCCTTGTGACACGAGCCAAAGAAAGAGCAGGAAAGGATTTCTTGTATAATAAGAAGGAAGTTTGAAAGGAAGATTCTCAGATGGCAGTAGATCGAGGACGAACACCATCTGGTAGGTGAATGAAAGGTGTTGTTCTGGGCAAATTCTAAATATGTGAAACAAAAAAACCTGTCAAAAGCCAGTATTCTTTATATCAGATTCTTATACATATATTTGAGATAGTCTCATGTGTGTGTACATACGCTAACTCTTATGTATATTTACAGTACCCTCCATAAATTCGGAAACACCCTATGTTTTATAGGCAAACAATCGCATAACAGCAATTTGTGCATGTTTTCGGTTTGAATACATTGTAAGACGTCCAAATGATAATAAACATTTTTATCTAGCACACTTCTAAGCTTATATGTGCCAAAAATATATCAGACAATCATTTTGTGACATCGTGTTTGCGTTGTAAATACATCTCAGAGAAACAGTACATCGTTTGAAGGTGTTCAATTATGGTTTTTGTAAAAGTGATAAACTATTTGAGTCCCAGGTTGATTTCAGATTCCGTAAAAATTGTGAAAGCTACTAGTATTGAAAATAAATGAAACCCAAACCAAGTAACAATAAACTAGCGCGCGAAATTCACCTCTAAGTCTTTTGATGCCACGAAATGATTGTCCGATATATTTTCATATATACAACTTATAAGTGTTATAGATAAAAATGTTTATTATCATTTCAGACGTCTTATGTATCTAAACCAAAAACATGCACAGATCGCTGTCATGCGATTGTTTGCCTTGTAAAACGTAAGATGGTTTTTCCAAACTTATGGAGGATACTGTACGTATATTTACGCATTTACGCACGTACACGCACACACAAAACAATTTTTTTTACAAGAATGTTCTTTTTCCAAAACCATTTGTATTTTTACTTCTTTTTCTTTTTGTACTATATATTTTTGTAAGATAAAATTAGTCAACAAAATTAGAAAATGGATTTTTGAAAAAAAGTATACATTCATGCTATTTTTTTGTTTTTTATTATTAAAACATTTAGAAATAACACTCAAACGATAATATCGTTTACAGTTGCGGATCATTAATCCAATATTGGTCCTACTAAATTAAATTAAATGTGACAAACGGATTTTTGTTTCAATTGTTATATTTTATGCTAAATTGACGATTAATCCGCTATGTACATTATATGCAAACATACGCGTTTCGCATGCAATCAAAGCTCTATGTACGTAATATTGCGACGTCTTAAATGAATTGGGCAACAAAAATCTTTGAATTTCCCGGGAGACTTCCTTTTAATTGTTTCTCGTTACCGGAATGAAATTCTTTTGTCCAATTCTGGAAATCAAAATGTCTTCCAGTCTCTAGAGATTTATCTTCGATCTTTCGTACGAAGTTTCCTTGATGCATTAATGTATATATGCCAGGAAATCGTACCCCGAGGCAGTGACGTAGTTATTTGGCAAGATTGTTTGTTTAAGTAATACGTCGCATTACAACGTCAAATAGACTCTGCATACATTGTGACCAAGAACAAAATAGATTGTCGCCATTGTATGCGATGCCGCGAGTAAATGAGATAAATAAAAAAATGTGGCCAATAAAACTTTGCTGAATTTAGATTTCGATGTCACTGACTGAAATCAATCAATCGAACTGAATCAGTCTTTATCGTTTAGTTTTATGTTTTTTTTGGTAAGTAAATAAAAAATTAAATACAACAAAATAAACACTACGTAAAACATCAAAATTAATTAGCGATTTGATTCTTTCATTTTAATATGAATTGTTTTATTTGCGGCTGCAAACTTAATCTTTTTTCTAATTTATAAAAATAATAAAATCTTTCATAATTTTAGTATTAAGACTTTTTCTTGCAATTAAAGCAAGAATGCCATTAAAATATTTTCTGATAGTTTTGAAATATTCTTGTATAAAAACATATTTGCAATTTGTCTGGTAAATTATAATAATATTGCACCAGAATTACATAGCAGAAATGAATAAGTGCTCGTTTGATGTCCAGTTTAGCCAATGCGACACCAATCTATCTGCGCAAAACAAATGCCGCATTTCTTCCTGCGAACATTTATTGCGTATTAGTATATTTCAGGCTTGCAAATTATATAAAAAAAGTAAAAAATAGCATGGAGTATTTTGTTGTATCGCATGAGATCACATATTTTACAAACTAATTAACGGAAATAAAAACTTTAACATGGGAAAAATTCACTACTAGAGAGAGATTTGACTAAAATGATACAAAATGTTTGTACATTGTTTTGCATCGCAAAATGCATAGTAAATAATTTCTGGCATATTCTTGATCACAATGCCGAAAAATTGTACGTAATTTGCTTTTTTGTATCACTCTTTTATATAAATTTCTTTAGCCAATCCATGAGTTTCTTTATAGCACAACGAATGTTTGTAACAGCAATTTCGATAATTTCTACTTTTTTTTTGTAATCAAGACATATGTCCGCGCGATAAATAAAATATTGCACTTGGTGTGCATACGTATTCGAAAAGATTCGTGCTTTATACACGAGGATACACATAATGGAAGATACTTTATCACGGAAGATAAAAAAAAAAATCTCAGATTTACTTTTTACATAGAAAATGAAACTTCTTAAAATTGAAACTTTTACTTCAATTTTCTAATGAAATTTACATGTGTCAAGAAGACCAATTTAAAATTCCATTTTTTTCAGATATAAATAATTCACGCAGGCATTTCATCCACATCTCGTTAATTAAATGCAAATGGCATGATAAAGTCATAATTAAACGGTAAAAAAATATGTAGATCCTGTTATACACATGGTGAATCACTTCGGCGGCTCACATAAAACTTGCGTCGTTTACACGTAAAAAATGCAAACGACGAAGTTATGTTTTTCCTCTGTATTTATATACTTTTTTTCATATCTTATGCTTTGCATACACACATGTAGAAAAGTACTAATTTAAGAAAAACTAATAGAGAAGTGCCACGTGGGGCTTCGTTACATATCCACGCGCTTCAATGTATACGCAAATCTCTCGAAAATATAGAAGTTACCATTTTAAAATCGAGACATCGTGAATGCTAGTAAATGCGGAACTCTCTTGCTACACAATTAGGCCAACCCTGTATAAGCTTGTTAATATAATTAGATTGATAGTTAAATCTACAATAGCATTTCCATGAATCAATTATGAATCACATTTTCGCAATGTGTCGCTATTTTCTTCCGGTTTTCGCACACGTACTACAGATCTGTCCGGTATATCAATCTACATTTTAACATTAAGAACTAAGTACGAGGCTCGACCGGACGGCAAGAGAGTTCCATCTCATTGCATTCGACAAGATACTAATCATGCAAGATATTTCTGTGCGGTCTATAAGATGACGTCATTGAATGAACAATTCCTCTTAAATTTTTGTGGATTTACCACACAACAGACTCAAACCAACCCTCTATGCCGACTGGCACTTGCAAGCGCGTACATATCCGCCATTTGGCAAAATAATGCTCACAGTGTTGCACGGGGGATCACATGAAGAACTCCCTGGATCGGCTAATATGCAGTCACGACGCAGGTCTATCCAGTACCGAGATCTCTATTAGCCTGAGCCCGCGAGTTGTTGGGTCTGTCAGCAGAAGACCGCGTGGCCTATACACTCGATCATTCTGTTCACTAACAAACTTTGCAACTTTGCGTAGACACTTCTCATAATGAGTCTCAGTGCATATACTTATTAAGTAACCCGTGAGACAATACAGACAGCTTTCACAATAGGTCGAACATGTGGCACGCTCTGCCTCCACAAAGTAGTTGTTTAACTGATTAATTGTATACTCGAATAACTGTCTGTCCAGCTAAAGGATATTATAAAATATATTTTTGATCATCCAACTTTTAAATAAATTTTATTAAAAATATATAACTTGTAAGAATAAAACTTGCTTATTTTAAACTATATAAAGATCAGAACTAATTAATGATTTTATTCCATTTTAATACTCACTCTACTTTCTAGTTCAGTTGGAAACCGTGTTTGAAACTTGACCATTGTACCTTCACTGTAGTCACGTTGTATAAAAACTTTTTGACAATTTTGAGGAGGCCCTCCACCTGCCTGCCCTCTTCCTGCAGACATATCTTCCAATGGTGTGAGAGCAGCATGATTACTCTAAAAGAATTGAATCTATCTTGCCATATTTTTCTTGTTATATTAAATATGGTTTATTAAATTTTCAAAGTAATTTCTCTCTCTTTTCTTTTTTTTAGAAACATTACAATATAAGTACATTTTTATATTAAAAAAATCAACACACCTGACAATAAATTAACCTAAATATACTGACATACTTTTTTCAATATAAATAACCTCTCTAAATTACACTGTGTGAGAAAGAATAAATCTTTTTTACCCAAGTTTAAAAACAAATTATAATTATACATCCATATTTTAGCTTCGAAGTTTTTTCCAAAACTTTATTTTTCCTGAGATTTTTCGTCTCAATCTAATTACACAAAACCGCGCCCAAAATCTCACCTCAAAAATTGCGAAGACTGAAAACCGCATTTTCGCCTTGTTTAATTTCAATTTGATTCTTTAAGAACCAAAACGAATGCCAAAAACATCTTCAAATACAAATTGTTACGATAAAAAAAGCGAAGTAAAAAACGGGTTTGAGAAATACTAGGAAATGCTCCGATTGAGAGAAAGAGAGAGACTAACAGAAAGCAAGTACAAAGAACTCACCAACGGCATTTTGAGCTTCGTTTTGTCGGTTGAGCTACTACTCTTAAAAAAAAGATAATCGAGCTCGATTTTTATCAAGCTCAAAGACAGCACTTAGTTTTCTGATTACAAATTGACAGCGGCTACGACTCACAACGACAATGATTACTCTTCCAGAAAAGTAAGGGATAGCTACTTACAACTTTCAGCTGCCATAAGTGATGCGCGCGCAGCAAGTGGCGTGATCATTTTTACGGCTTTTGCCGCCAGACTGCGTTGCGCGCTACGCGACAATAGAGTCCCTAGAACATAAAGGGTGCTTTCCAACTACGTACAGACGGCGTCATTGGTCGCGTTCAGCAGATACAACTGCAGAGAGAAACCTGAGAGCGGCCATCCTATAGTAATTTTTTACGACGGTTTCAGCCGCTGGTTTTAGCCGTATTTCCACAAAAGTGGAACTCAA